TTAATGTTATTCAAATTTATGCACCAACCGAGCAAAAACCAGAGAGCGAGATAGAAGATCTATATGCAGACATAGAAACGCTTATTAACCACACAAATAAACATGATATAAACATCGTTATGGGAGATATGAATGCCAAAGTTGGCTCAAAGTTAGTTCCTGAGGTAACTGGTGCCTATGGCTTAGGGAACCGAAATGGTAGGGGCGACACCTTGATACAATTCTGTCAAGAAAAAGACATGATAATTGCCAATACATTTTTTCAGTTGCCACCACGCCGTCTGTATACTTGGACTTCTCCAATGCATACATCTCAACATACTGTGCGAAATCAAATTGATTATGTATTGGTAAACAAAAGATTTAGAAATTGTATCAAGAGCGCGAAAACCTATCCGGGGGCAGATATTGGGTCTGACCACAATCCAGTGGTTATTCGCATCTATTGTAAACCCAAAAAAGTTAAATCAAAGAGCCAGCAAGTGAAATTAAATTTAAAAAAGCTTACGGATCCGAACACCAAACTCGAAGTCTCGAACGATCTGAATGATCAATTGAGTAAATTATCTCCTTCAATAACAAGTCCTGAAATATGGACCTGCCTCAAGCAAGCTATACATAATACCTGTACTAAGTTCCTTCGACCATCGACAACAACGAAGAAGCAGGAATGGATGAGTGATTTCATTATACAGCTAATGGAAGATCGGAGATTGTGCAAGAATATTGATCCCCTGCGCTATAAGGAGCTCGATAATATTATTAGAAAAGAAATTAAGAAGGCTCGTGAGACGCATTTCAAAAATAAGTGTGAAATCATGGAAGACCTGCACAACAAACACGATAGCTTCAATGTGCACAAAAATATTAAAGAAATGTTGGGACTTAAGTGTAGCAATTTAACTAGCTTAGCCGATACAAACGGGCAGCTACTTTTTAGTATTGAGGCCAAGAAGGATAGATGGTTGGAATACATATCAAAAATGTTTGAAGACCCAACAAGACACCTCGCAATGTCCTTAACTGGTAATGATACTGGCCCACCCATAATAAAAGCAGAAATTTTATATGCGTTAAAATTGGCTAAATTGGGCAGAACCCCAGGTCCAGATGGCATCCCAGTAGAGGTCGTTAAACTCTTGGAAGGGGAGAACATAAACTTGCTCAAACGATTATTCAATCACATTTATGACACAGGTGACCTCCCAACCGAGTGGCTAAGATCTACGTTTATTACCCTCCCGAAAAAGAAAAACGCTAGAAAATGCGAGGAATATCGTACAATTAGTCTTATGAGCCACGTGCTAAAGTTATTTTTGACCGTCATACATAACAGGATAAGAAGTAAGTGTGACGAACAATTGGGAGATAACCAGTTTGGCTTTCGCTCTGGTGTAGGCACACGTGAGGCTCTTTTTGCTCTGAATGTCCTTGTACAGAAGTGTCAAGATATGCAGAATGACGTCTTCCTATGCTTTATAGACTATGAAAAAGCTTTTGACAAGGTAAAGCATGACGTTCTCATAAATCGTTTAATTGACACCGGTCTCGATGAAAAGGATCTAAGAGTAATCAGAAACCTGTACAAAGACCAAAAAGCAACCGTGAAAGTGCATCACGAGGAAACGGATGAGATTGGTATTTACCGTGGTGTTCGTCAAGGTTGTATATTATCTCCGTTGCTATTCAATGTATATTCCGAAGCAACTATATCAGAGGCCATTGAGGGGTTAGAGGTTGGTGTGAAAGTTAACGGAAAGATAATCAACAACATTCGCTATGCAGACGACACTGTTTTAATAGCCTCGTCAATGGATGATTTACAAATGCTTGTTAATAAAGTTCATGAAACTAGCGAAAGAGACGGTCTGACTATTAATGCAGTAAAGACGAAGGTGATGGTCATTTCCCGAAATGATACTTTAGTTCCTAATTTATCCGTAGCTGGTAGAACGTTGGAACGGGTGCGGCAATACAAGTATTTGGGAACTTGAGTTACAAACGAGTGGAATCCTGATCAGGAAATTAGGTCTCGAATCGAAATTGCCCGAGGATCTTTCAACAAAATGAGGAAAGTTTTGTGCTGCCGTCACATGACCATTAAACTCCGAGTCCGACTTCTCCTTTGTTACAAATGGCCAATTGTTCTGTACGGCTGTGAAGCTTGGACAATTAAAGAAGATACCCGCCGGCGCTTAGAAGCATTTGAGATGTGGTGCTATCGTCGCATGCTTCGAATAAGCTGGATCCAGAAGGTCTCTAACGAGAAGGTTCTGAAACGAGTTGGAATGTCGAAAAAACTTTTGCAGAACATTAAACAACGGAAAGTTGCGTACCTGGGCCACGTGTTGCGCCATGACCGCTACCACCTCCTTCAATTAATTATAATGGGTAAAATCCAGGGTAAACGGCGTGTTGGTAGAAGGAAGAAATCATGGCTCCGCAACGTTAGAGAATGGACAGGTATTGCAACTGCAGAAGAGTTGCTGCATCTGGCACAGGACAAGACACGCTTCAAGATACTGACGGCCAACCTCCAGTAATGGAGAGGCACTAAAAGAAAGAAAGAAGAAAACAAAGGATTTGGAGAGTACTATGTGTATAAAGTAGTCTGTCTGTTTATCTTTATTTAACTGAATAGGTATGGTTTCTAAACAGTAATAATTATTGTATTGCTAGCAAGCGCAACAATTAAATGTATAAAATAGTTGTAGATTTGTGCCTGACGGAGATTTTTAAATGGAATGTAATATTACTATGCTGCGAGGAAACTATAATCTCTGGTGTCCCGCCCCCGCGGGCGCAGACTAGGTTCATATATTACTGGCAGTACATACGAGTAGTATAAAAAGCATTTATATTTCGTATTCATATGACGAATATTTTTTTTTATAGGTACAAGCTTTACTAAATTGTTGCTGCAAAAGAAAAAGCTTCCTGCAAAGTATGAGTAAACAATTGCCGGACTTCATGATAGTTGCCTTGACTGAACACGTATGTATTTAAAATTATATGTGATTACTAATTTTCCTTTGAAGGAATATGTATATCTAATGCATTCAAATATAACTTTTTTTAAATTTTGATTTGTATTAAATAAGTTTATTTTAAAACTGTAAGTGTACACGCCACGCGCCGCTCTTAATTTATTAAAGATCCAATATTTAAAAGCGCTGTAATTTTTTCGATTTTGATCCATTAAAAAAATTACTACATTCACCTAAGTTATGAAGTAAGTATGCTATAATACTTTAGAATGCTGCATATTTTTACCATTATTGATGAAATAAGTGATGTTTGTTGTTTCGACATAGTAGATACTTATATGAGTAATACATACCTAATAAAACCATATATTTTTTCATACAGCCGGCAGCTTTAGAAGCCTTATGCCTTATGCTCGAATGGGAGGTGGCCAGCGGGGAACAAACTCAATTGGAGATTATTGCTGCCTTACAGGGAACTGAACTAGGAAAGCAGTATTATACAGATCTATGTGAACGACAGAAAACATTGCAACGACTTGTAAGTTCTAATATTACTAACATTGATATACAAAAAACCCAAGATGCACAGTCTCGAATAAAAGTAACGCTCGAAAGTGTCCCGAAACACTATTTCTGTCCATAACAGTATATGTTACAAGCATATATTATTGCAAAATCAACCTTACGCGAATTGCTTAAAGTTGTTATTACAACGCAGTGTATACGTACTTAAAGCAATAAAATTTTACGACCGACCGTGGTCGGTAGGACAAGGTATTGAGTGGAGTCGAACATGACTTTTTTATTTACAACTATTTAACATAATTTTAAATTTATCCGACTTTTCGGGTGCTTTACAGCGTGAGTGGTCACGGTGACTGAAGACAAAAGGTGTTGGATGTTAAATAGTTGTAAATTTATAATAATACATAACATTAATCCGGTTAAAAAGTTTTTTCTTTAAATTAAAAAAAAATGTTAAATTGGCTACCTCCTGACCCACACTTTATATAGCGTAAATATATTTGTCAAAAACTACACACAAAAAAGTTCAAGAGTACATAAATTTATTTATAAAAAAAACACAAATAAATAACATCGACTCCACTTATAGACGCGAGACTATTTGAAATGAGCGCACAATTTAGAATGTTGCGCTCATTTTTTGAGGACGTTTTTTAGACGTTGATTGTGCATCTTGGGTTTTTGTATATCAATGATTACTAATTATACGTAGTCGGTCCCAAAGTTCTGTCATAAATGGAAATAATGATAAAAACAAAAGTACTGATCAGTTTGTAATGAGTGATATATCAATTCTTAGTACATTAATTAAGGAATAAAAAAAGCATAAAAATATTCGAAATAACCTCCCTCATTTTTAATACAGGCCCTTAAGCGTCGCGGCCAGTCGTCTATCGCAGCACGCACCATATTCGTGTCGATTTCAGTCACTGGTTTTTAAAGATGACTTCAGATTCTCCAAATTTTCATGAGGTTTATCACAGACCTTCCTCTCTAAGCCCTGTCATAATTTCTGGTCCAAAGGATTAAGGTCGGACTGGAGGAAGGCCAATCCTCATGTCTAATTAAGACGATGTTTTGACGCTCAAACCAGGCTTTAGTGGTCTTGGCTTTGTATGCAGACGCAGAGTCCTGATGGAACACGAAGTGATGTCCCGCAAATTGGGTGCTGGACATGTCTTTGACAAAGGCGATACAAAACCGTCTCTTGGTACACTGTAGCACTGGTTTTGACCCCCTTTTCGAAAAAATTAACCTCAGTTAGCCCGTAATAGGACACTCCCAACCAAACCATTACTGATGATGGATGATGTCCATGTTGCACCCTTGGAACTTTATTTTTCAGCTTCTTCAGAACTCCTAGCGTACACTGTATAATCTCTGTTTATTGTACTTCTCTTCAATATCGAAAAATTTTTCGTCCGTAAAGAGGATATCACGGTGTCGGTTTTTCGCGTACCGCTTAAACAACACCCGCGATCTCTTAAGCCTTATTGCTTTTAGGCGAGCATTAAGTAAGTGCCCACTCTTTTTTGTATGCTCGTAGACCAAGATCTTCATTTAAAACCTTTTTTACTGTTTTCCTACTGACACCCATCTGCAAATCCATCAACTTCTGTTTTCGGACAGGATTTCTTACTATCCGCGCCTTGATAGCTTTGATTACTGCTGGTGTTCTTGCGGAGCGTGGCCAGCCAGTTCTTTTCTTGTCCTCAACACTGGAGACTTCAAGGTACCTATCAATAGTACCGTACACAAACCTAAGCGTTATATTCAAATTTTTGAGCAACTTGAAAATGGTACTCGGCGAGTGTCCACAGCGGTGCAACGCAATAACAACTATTCGGTTTACTTTTCAATGTCCACTCCATCGTGAAAAATTACGGAAAGTTATTGTTTTTGTTTTAAAACAATAATCAAACATTCCAAAATAGAATGCAATAATTTTTTTATAAAATCCTGCTCGAAATGTAGAAATAATGTGCTAGTGACAGAACTTTGGGACCAACTACGTATATTATCGTATTTTTAACCGAATAAGCGATATTCATTACCCTTTTACTGTATGGGCTTTAGTAAATTGGAATTCAAAGGAATAATTCTATTTCACTAAAACTAAGGACTAACTAGATTAAAATTTTCTTCAACATCGCAATTCATGAATGACGCAGTTAGGTCCTCATTAAAACAATAATGAATAAACAAAAACTTTAAATGGTGCCAAACCCCCGGATATATTAATGCTAATTCCAATCATCGTAACATATAACAGATTTCCATGTTGTGTAAATATTTAAATCATACATATGTTGGTTTCAGCAAGCACATGGAGGTCCGAAACGGTTAGCTTTGCCAGTGCGTGCAACGGATGAAGATGTAGCTGCATTACTGGAAGCCGGAGCCCTCGGGAACCTTGAATGTTTGAGCCTTGCTTTCACTAGCGTCACCAGCGCTTGCGCACATCATTTAATAAAGGTATTAATTACTTTTAATTACTGGCTAAAACCAAAATAGCAATTTTATTCCTCAGTTGCGGTATTTAAATATAAGTAGGTATATTTACAAATAAAACAGGTAACAGGCTACAAAAAAAACATGAACTTTATATTGCTAACAGAAAATATAAAAGTACTATCACTAAATATAATGATTAAATACCGCTATATTCCTTGCGAATGTATTTTATGTAAAAAATATATATTTTACCTGTTTCCTACTATCAGTTTCTTATGTTACGACTACTATAATCGTATTTTTACAGCTACCATCACTTCGCTACCTTAACTTGTGGGCAACAAAGTTCGGAGATAGTGGCGTTCAACTGATTGCGGAACATTTGCCGCGACTGCAAGTACTCAACCTATGCGAAACTCCCGTTTCTGATAAGGGCATAGAGGCACTATCAGGTACTATGTTGTTTGTAGAACTACACATAACCACCAAAAGAGTAGATCTGGTTTTTGAATATACAAAGCTTTATTATCTGTGACTTATTTGCCGGCGAATAAATTGACATTATTGTTGATCATAACAGATAACCATAAGCGAAGTTTTTATTTTTGAGGCTATAGAATATATAAGTGCATTAAAATCTAAGCAAGCTTCAAACCTTTGAAGAGGTGTGTCTTATTAAGAATGCAATATATTTTCAGGACTATCCAGTCTTAGAAGAATAAATCTTAACAGCACCAAACTATCAGCCGAGGCCTTCGATACTCTACGTCAAAGGTTACCCCAGCTTCAAGAATATGACGTTCGCTACACTGAGGCTTGGTGACAAAATAACTTTTCTTAGTTAATATAGTATCTACAGGTTTTTATCAAGGTACAAATAAGTGTCTCGTCAGAAATCCAGGTGCCATGACAACATTTAACAGAATTATTTGCGACTTCGGAATTTTATCTTTTTTTTTAAATCTGTGAATAATTAAATAAACTATTCATCATAGAAATATCCTATGGTCCAATATCTTTTGAAGTTGGTTAAAAAAATTGAAATTTCAAGCGCAATGGTGCCTACAGATATAGAACGTGCTCCAACATTATTCCGCATTTTACGTTTAATATAATCAATCTGAAATCTAGTGTGAAAATCTGTCAAATATTTTTTTGCAATGTTTTATAGCACTTAAGACAATATTGTAACTTAAAATAGGTGTTGGAATACGTTCCTTTGAGCGAGACGAATTAGGAATACCTACTATATCAACATTAAATTAAATGCATTTATTACAAAACCTTTCCTAATCTATAAATTTCTTTATATATTAAGTTGTATTCCTAAGTATACTTATAGACTACTATAGTTATAAGGATTCTTTACCGATTAAGTATTATAGTAATAAAATAAATCTATGCCAGACTTATCTCGAATTTATTCTACATATTGCATTTGTACATTACAGTTATTATGTAAATGAAAATTCTTTAAAGTATCTAAGGTTCATGTACATATTTTGATTTGACAATTAAGCATTAACAATTAAAAATCCGACTGCATGTTGTCGAAACGGTTTTAAATAAAGATGAAAATGTTTTGTTGATATAGTATTTGAGTATTATGCTAACTTGAGTCTCTATAATATATTTTCGGTAAAAAAAATTGGTTAACCACAATTGGAATTTTAAATCAACTTTAACTGCTATTATATTCAGGTTCTACTTAAAAAAGAAAAGGAAATTTAAATAAGGTAGAGGATAGATGTTGGCGCGATCTTTATATTGAGATATAATTTGAATTATTAGGACTAAAGTCAGGTTTAATTTCAAATTAAGAGAATTAAAACTAGAATTGGTAAAAATCGGATACAGAGTAATGAATTTTAACACCAACTGCCATTTCTGGTAGAAAAATTGTCCTAACAAGTATTATTTTAGATATAGGTAGTTGTTATGTTAGGCTGTGAGAACTGATGAAAATGTGTATGATTGAGATACTGCGAATGTGTTCTCGTATGTTAAGTCGTTAGAGCTCTCCCGCCGTTTTAAATAAAAACCGGCAGATTGCTTACGTTGCTACAACACCACTTTTTAACATACACACATTACTGCTATGAATGCACTTCATTTTGACATCTAATTGTTACTGATAGTATGCCTTTTTTGTTCGAAATTTGTTAAATCATCTTTATATCTGTATCAAGTAACATTTCTTGTAGAAAATTATTAATAAAGCCTATAAATGAGTGTTTAATTTTGTTGCATTTCCATTAATTAAAATAGCCAATTAATATTAGCTTATATAAGTTACCTGCGTAGAACTCTCCAGTTAGCTGCAGGAATATTTAAGTTGGCTACCCAATTATTATTATTTCTATAATCAGCTTCAACCACGTATTTCCTGATCTTTTGTATCATTCCCATTTTCATAGTCAGTTTATATTATCAATGTAATTGTTAAAAGGTGATATTGTAGCTTTTATGGTCCTGCAGGTAAAATTGTAAATATCTAAAGGTTTGCTGTTTGACCACGATTGTAAGCATACTGTCACGTAATGTAAGAAAACTTGTGGATGCACGTATATCAGATTACTAAGACTGTTTTTTTTCTGCTACCACAAGCTATTTCTATACTTAGTCATCAACACCCGAGGCCTAATTATGCGATATCACACAGAACAGAATTAAGCTTGATATTTATAAATGAGCATGTGAAATATTTCGAACGAGTGTGACATCTTAAAGAACATTGTCAGAGCGTTTAAAATCTAATCATTAATTGAAGACTTAATACCAATACTAGAAAATTTCTTAAGTCATGATCTACGCAATAGTTAATCCCTGTTCCTGTATATTACACGTTTCGTAGATTTAATGAAGAGGTTAAGACTTGTTCTGCGTTGTAAGTATACGTTTGTAATAAAACATATTAATGGAACACTGAATTTTATTTATTTCCATACAAGTAGAATTCCATTACATTAATTTAAAAAATATACATAATTTTTTAAACATAGATCTTAAAAGAAAATGACTACCCTATACATATACAGATAGATTGTGTATTTCTTACACCACACAATTCAGATTATATTATATATAAATATACATATTGTAGGACATTTATGCAATGCTGTGGGATTTATCATCTTAATACATTATTCTGTAAGTGCCTTACAATGTACATTCAATAACGTAAATCAAATAAAACCTACTTTTATTTTCTATTAATATATTATGCCAGTTGATCAAAACTTTAAAAACGGGTAAAATAAGCTATCAGCACCTGTTTTATCTGTACCGCTTATTTTTATAATCATAGATATTTTACTAAAAATTTTGGATAGCTTAACAGCTCGCAGCATGTCTAGACTTACATGCTGCGTTTTGCGGTGAGGATCCCGTTTATATTATAGCAGATGAATAGTACCGGCGCGGCGCCGCTTGCGCATATGCGCAGTAGCGGTAATCGCTATTCTGTAAGGGTACTACTCGTTACCTTGAGAGACAAACTCATCATATTTATAAAGCTTAATTAGGTACTTTAATTACATATAAGTTTAAAAAAGACTATATTCCAAAAATATTCTCTATTTAAGAAATATATTACAATTTAATAATATATAAAAAAAATTACATAATGAGCTGTTTTGTAACATTATTTATTTTCATATACAAGAAATGTATAGTAATTTGGGAATAATTTCGAGTAAACTAACAAAGTAGGTATTTAAAAAAATTAAGCAACAGGAATGCATAAATAACAAACAAAACAGCTAAAACTAAAGACAAAAATTTTAGCTATACTTTTATTGTTTAGTGAAACAATTAAATAAAAAAACTATTAATATATAATAAATATTTCATCTCATATATGTAAAGGTTTTTATAGCTCGCACATAATTAGATAGACGTACAACATATAATTTACCGTAACGTAACGTAAATTAATATTGGATAATGTAGCGACTTACCATCAGGAAATAGATATATACTTCAAATCCTAAATAAATCTTATCTAGTCTATAAATAATGGCGTAATAGGCGTTTACATACATATGTACTTCCGGTAATAATTTTATCTCGATGTATTTCCGGTTTTAATAATCATACATAACTAGTCTAATTTAGACATACATTTTAACTAAACCAAAAGACTAATACGCACATGTAACCTCCAGTTATTGTAACTACAAGATGGTATTAATTTGATTGATTAACGTAAAAAAATAATTTAAACAACTAAAAAGATTGAATGCAGACTTTAAAGAATATTAAGAATAAATTAACCTAAATTAAATAGTCGTATTATAAATGGGTTATATAATATATATCATGATATAAAGGTCAGATTCAATATGGGCTTTGTACTCTAGTGAATATAAGATCATTGTGAAATTACATAAGTTACCTCTTAGGCACACCTCAAGATAGAAGAAATTAGTAGAATATTTTTGTATATAATGTGTCATTTAAGCATTTTTTTAATAAAAATAAGACACTATTTTTAAAATATTTAATGCATTTAGAAACCATTATATTATATGGCCAATTTACAATAACTTTACATTAAATTACCCGAATGAAAATACTAAACATAGTTAATTTAACAATAGTATAAAAACAATATACCTATAGATACGAAAAAAAGAGGATTACACGTACAATGTTTATATTATATACAAAAATATATTAACAAAAACCTAGCACACTTAAGGATATAAATTCATAACAAATCCTCCACTATTCATATGGAATCACACACTTTGTGCCACTGCCAATCTAGGTATTCAAATTATATGAGACGCGGGGCGCAGAGACAGCAATTAAAATATATATACTTTTGTACTTTAGAAGCCTAAGCACGAACAATACGTTAAAGCGAACACCTATCGCAATATAAAAGAATTAAGAAACTATAGATTTTTGTATGAAAAACTTAGGCGCTCCGAAAGCATATTGGGAGATAAAAAGCATGAACATACATAACTCGAAAATAATACGAATCAAGTATCAAACACTTTATGGATGTCGACATTCACGCTTTCAAAAAAAATTTCATTGAATATCGTGCTAAGGCCTCTAAAGTTTCATAACGAGAGGAGCGTGATTGTTTTATGCTTCTGTCAGTCACTCTTAGGCGCTGTCGTTGTCAAAATCAGGCGCGAAAACAAGACTTAAACTTCTTGAACTTGAACTTTTAAAGGAGCTTATAGTGAAGGATGACAGAACATTTTTACTCAAGATATTGTTTTAACAGGTTAGAGATCTCTGGGAATATTAATTCCGTCCATCTTCCAATTTATATAAAGAGTAGTTTCAGGATAATTCCAACAGTTGAATTAAACAAATGTCTTACTTTTAGACAAAGATTTTTTGAAACACTGGCCAAATAGTGTATCAAGACGTCTAGTTGAATTTAATACTGGTTTGACGTATATACGAATTTGTGATTATCACAATAGTCTATTTTGTCACTAAAAGAAATAATTTTGAATTTTATTCCTATTCATTTACATCTATTTGGTGAACGCGGCGAACACTGCCCACATGATATCGCAGGCTTCTGGGCGCATAGCTTCAGCCTCAAAGTCTAGATCTAACAATGCGCGTACACGCCGCGTGGCTAGTTCGTAGTCTTCATCTGAGAGTGGTCCAAACGCGTTTTCGAGTACGTCAGCGGAATGTGTAAGCATTAAGAGCGCGAGCGATCTTTTGTCCGCATGAGCCACGTCTGTTATTGAGCGACGCAGTGCCGCTTCTTGTACCTAGGGGGATTAAAAATTATAAATCACATAGCAAAACATCATCGACATAAATTAACATTTAAACTAATAAAAAAGCGACAACGAACTCGCCAGCCTTCTGGTATGGTTAGTGTCCATGATTTGTATTTCGAGTATTTCAAGTGATCCTCTGGGCCCGTAAAGTCCAGTTCTATAATCGTAATACGCACAAATTATACGTATTCCATAGTTATAATAACTTTAGAAATTTACGAAATATATTTAGCTTTGAATATTAGTTATCAGAAATCAATTAGTTATTATCAGATATTGATAATGTAATGGAATTTTTGTTACATGAGATACTAAACCAATATGGTACTGTATATAAATATTAAATTTTTGATGTTTTTTTATTAGATGAACATGTGATTAGGGAACGTTCAAGTATTAGGTAACGTATTTTGGGAGTTTGGGGGGTCCTTTTGTGAAACGTTACGATGCGGGGCGGGGATTTAATTACGCGTTATTGTTAATATTTTTTTCGACTTACACCACATAGTAGTAACTAAAGAGTCACTAGGTGGTCACGAAACGTTTTACTATACTTGGGTACAGTACTGTACTTGGGTACTGAAAAAACGTTACGGCGAGTTACATGGGGGACCCCGGGGGGTCAATAATCTCCAAAAATTGCGTTACGTAAAACTTGAACGCTCCCTTAGCCTTTTCTATCTCTTTCAACCCGAAACATCACAAAATATATACACTGAATCATGCCTTGACCAATTGAGGCAAGCAGGCAGCATTCACAAAATTAATTTAAATAAACATGCAGTATACTGCGCAAAAAGGTATTGAGAAATGGCCATTTAAGTATTGAGAGCATTGAGATTACAAAATCCAACAAGTTTTCATGTGTTCTAACTTCTAAGCAACAGCTCAATAGCCTGGATACATAATATCAAAAATAACTTTCTAATTCAGCTATCAAATGTGAAGAGATGTTTTTGCATAACTCCAGTGATGCAAATTTATTTTAATTATGTGGTGGAATTGTATGGACCTCTAATTCTCCAATTTGACCCATTTCTGTGTCAATTTAATAATTTATGCAGATTTATTGTTTTACCGGGAATAAACATTTAGAAACTCTGGATGATGTGTTGTTCCAAGTAAGCCCTAAGTTTATATATTAAAATGTTATTTATTACTTCATAGTACCTTTCACTTTTCTTTAATATGAATAAAAATTACAACATAACTGGTTAGGATTCCCATACAGTTATTTAAAGGTCAAGTTACCTTCAATAGACAATATAATGTGAAATGCAATAATTACAAATGGTTTAATGTGTTGTGTATGACAGGATAATTATGGTAATGTAAACTTGAAGAAAAATAGATATACCTTTTTAACTAAGCGGCCTTTGATGCCATTGTCTGTGAGCGGGTGAGTTGTCATATCAAATAATAAGAAATTTTGCTTTTCAGTTGTTAAAACCCCTTTCTCAACTAGGTTTTTGGCAAGCCTTTCTCTGACGTTTTTCAATTGATATTTCAGCTTCATTGGATTCCATGTTTCTCCTAAAATAAAATATTTCTTCATAGGTATTGTATGGTTCATCAACACTGTTCTAAACTTCTTAAGAAATCAAATTATTCTATCATTTATAAAAAAGTATTTATGATTGCCTTCAAATGAACATTAAAAACTATATTAAAATATGCTTTTTCATACTGGTAATGAAAACTAAATAATTTCTAAGCAGTCATTACAATCATAATAGTATAGACAATATTTCCATGACTACATCAAAAATCAGTTTAATACTTTTTCATCTCTTTCTGTTAAATTGTGTTTACGCTGTGATGACAACACTTAATTTTTATAAATTTGTAAGATTTTAACACAAATCACAACAGCATACACAATTACCAAGTCCAATTGTATGGACCATAATTATTTTTTTATTTATTAATTGAATCTTAACTCTCAAAGGTTACATATTCAAAATTAATCAATGAAACAATACTGTTCTAATGACTATATGAATAAACCAACTCATTTACATGAATAGTTTAGTTAACAGTTAAAAATAGTTATATTTCACTTGAATTTAATCATTTTTTTATAATCCCTCATCTTAGCAAAATGACACAATTATTTTTGAAGCACCAATTTTATTGAGACACAAAAGAAAGAACTAAACTATAATACATATTGCTTACCACTGAGGTATTCTATCCAGCTTTGTACTGTTTCTGGGGGGTCGGTGTCCTTCATGTGTTTTAAGGCTTCATCTAATAGTACATCACCTGTAGGTGTGTCTAAAAAGAAATCAACTTAATATTAATAATGAAGTTACAAAACAAAGTTACCTATGTTGTAAAGATGTTGTTAATCATTTTAAGCTACTTTTTATAAACACTGCTTGAAACCTTAAATATTTAAAGAAAAAACTTTTTAACCAGATTAAAGTTATGTATTATTATAATGGTTAAAGCACACATGAAACGTCAGTTAAATTTAAAATTATGTTAAATAATTGTAAATTTATAATAATACATAACTTTAATCCGGTTAAAAAGTTTTTTCTTTAAATGTGTAAAGGTTATGTCAATAAAAGACAATACCATAAATATTATGAAAATTATTAAACTGGTAATACAGCCCTAACTATGTACACATCATATTTCAACTTGAAATAGAAATAGCAATTCAATACTGTTTGTATTAAACAACTTTGTTATCCATTTGTAATTTGTTTACATTTTGAGAACATTGTTCAGTTTAAAAACACATTACACAATAAATAACAGATGTACTACTCAAGTAAATTTAAGACACAAAGTTCATGCTGTTAGAGTGACATGATTGTTAAAGTTAAATAGTCACTCACCACTTTTTACAATAACTTTTCTTGACAATAAACCTTTACGCCTCATACCAATTCTTTCTAATTCTATGCGACCTCTTAATGCCAATTCGATCAAAATGCAACCTCTAAGTCCACTAGAAATACAGTCATTCCAAAATGATGTATAACCCTGAAAAACAAAAATTAACAGAACTATGGGTCATGTACAAATCAATTTGGTTCACGATTTGGATTGCTCTTATCTCCAGCACTTACTTCTTTATCCTTTAGTCCTAAAAGTAAAACTTCTTCCATCAATGTTAATCGCGGTTCCTTTGAATCACCGTCATCAAATATTTTATCATTTTTCTTATCATCTGCATCCTGATTTTCTTTCAAAGAACCATCGGAGTTTTCTTTGACGACGTGTTTTCGTTGCACCAAGCCTTCAGTGCGATTCATTTTATCATCTGAAGTTATTATTTTTTTTTAAAATATAATTTCGTACAATATTAATTTAAAGAATAGTAAACAGGGGAAATAAACGAAATTTATGTTGACGTTTGCAACACGACGTATTTCAATTTGTGAGAGGAAATATTAAATATGGCCGAATTCTGACAAAGTGTTGCTCACAATAAAAACACTTTCGGCCATAGCATTATAATATTTTATAAAATATAAACTCGTAAAACTTACTAAAGGAAGTTTATTGTATATTACCAGACATTTTTTCTGTTTGTATTTCTAACTAATTATTTAGTAATTCATTAATATCTTATTATGGTAAAAGCTGCGAGCTGAAGCTCTCGCCTGTCTAGTTCTTAGCTAGTCCAGAGGCAATGCAGAGTTTATTTAATCTAATTCATAATTATTTTAAAATGCCATAAAGATTTTATTATAGAACAGAAAACAAAAAAACAAAATTATGGTTGTATAGACAGAAACTAAAAGTATGCATTGCCCTGCTCACAGTAATGCATTGTAAACATATATAATTTTGTTAATTTTGTTATTATTCCAAAAACAAGAGTTCTTATTATCCCAAAAACCTTCTGAATAGATTTTGCGGATTATTTGTAATTACATTATTTATTTATTTATTTATTTATTACAGTATTATTAGTTCTTATTCTACAACATATTGTGCAGGAAATTGATGTCTGTTTTTTCGTTTATAGATTTCCTGTGGCCGTCGGTAGTGGCGGGAAAATGTTCGCGAAATAATTTAACTTTCTAGTAGCTATCTACTAAATACCAGTATATTAGATGGGTGTATTTATTAGCGTTATTAAGCACTATTTGCAGTAGATGGCAGTGAAATGAAGTAAAAAAAGAATTTCTAAGTTTTAACAATGATGTACTCTGTGGTTTTAACTGTCATGGCCGATGGCGTCATTCACTTTTCTTGTGCTTGCTTAATCTTACGTTTCTGTGTCTTGCTACCGTTTTATATATTGCATAATATAATTTTTCACAATTTGGATTGGTTTCTAAGGTCTAGATACCAGGCCATAAACTCCAAAAAAAAACATGGATTGGTTTCTGGACTTTGGAGATTCTCTTTTACGTTATACCTTTGCATTTTTACCTTGGACAATATCGAGTATTGACTATAGGTATATGGTATATAATGTACTGTATGTGTACCTACTTATTTTAATCCAATCAATGCCACATTGATATCTATATGTTAACGTAAAATTGTAAATACCGTTAGATTGTAATCAATCTCTCGAGATTATAAACTGTCGAAAGATTGTGAACCTCACCGTACTGCTTACAATTTAACGTATTATTATTCGGTAGATTGTAATCTATCGAAGTGAAACCGTCAAATTACAATCTTAAAATTGTCAACTGTCCGAAGGTTGTCCCTTATTGGCCGGCTTTATAGTAGTCCGTTATAATATGTCCATTGAGTTAGGAATGAAACAAGGGTATCGGTCAAATAAAATGAATGCACTTCAAGAATTTGTATTTATTACTTAGTAAGTAATCAATAATTCTGACATCACATGGTAAATAAAAAAATATCAAAATAAAAAAATCAGAAACGTAACAATATTTTCTGGTGTTTAGATTCGAATGGGGGGGTTGGGGGGGCGGGGAGGGGGAAACGGGGTGGGGGGGGGGGGGGGGGGGGTGAAAAATAATCTATTTTTTTAAAAGTGTAAATCGATTTTTGTATTCGATTTCGAGTTTCAGTTGAACAGTTATTTAAAAAAAAATATTAATATACTAACCTAACCTAACCGAATAATAATACATTTTTTGGACAGCTCCGGCGCTACGGGAAATGCAGCCCCTACACCCTTGCGTACCAAAGCACAGGCAATTTATTCAGGCTGCTCTTCCTCCGCGCCTCCGAATTTTTATATATGTTAACGTAAAATTGTGAACACCGTTAGATTGTAATCTATCTCGCGAGATTATAAACTGTCGAAAGATTGTGAACCTCAGCGTACTGCTTACAATTTAACGTATTATTATTCGGTAGATTGTAATCTAGTATTGTCTTTGATTGACATAACCTTTACACATTTGAAGAAAAAACTTTTTAACCGGATTAAAGTTATGTATTATTATAAATTTACAATTATTTAACATAATTTTAAATTTATCCGACGTTTCGCGTGCTTTACAGCGTGCGTGGTCACCGTGACCGTGTTTCACTTCGATAGATTACAAACTACCGAATAATAATACGTTCACAATCTTTCGACAGTTTACAATCTCGCGAGATAGATTACAATCTAACGGTGTTTACAATTTTACGGTGACATCAATATTTCCAAAAAAGTTAAAATAGGGTTGTTCAACCGCTACTCGAGGCGCTTATTAAAAGCCCGCGTCACAAGAAATGCAAATATAAAAGAACTTCTTAAATAACTATCAAAGATTCAAAGTGTTTAAACACCAATACTATACTAGAGATTACTGAAACTAACATATTATTCTTTAGTTACGAAGATTATTATTTATGTTACACCTCTATAATAAAAATTAAATCGTTTTAGAGTTCCACAAAATTTTATTGTAATAATCTGTTTAAAACTATCTAAACAACTATTGTTTCTGTAAAAATATAATGTCAGAGTGCCTCTCTGAACTTTTTGTCTTCTAGAAAAAAAAAAAAAGGGGACAAAAAACCCCCCCCTTTTAAAACCCCACGATCTCAAATGTTCGGATAAAGTCGTCGGTCCTGCGCCTGGTTTCGTCATATTCGGCGAGGTGGACTGAAGCTCACTAGAACCTATAAGATTTATAGAATTGTGAGTGCACTCGTGTGCACCTGCGCACACACTTGTGGAGAATAAGATACAGACTCGATTCTTCAACAACCTTATATCCGTGGGCATCATGTAGAATTTAATCTTTAAAAGGCATAATTTTCAAATATTATTAACGTATTACATAGTATCAGTAACGTATCACTAGGTACTAGTTAGTGAGATCTTATCTTCGGAACTCTGAAGAAAATTCATTGTTTAATCCACAAAGACATTTATCAAAATATGTCTTACCCATACTAATATGTTCGAGTCTATTAGATTTTTTATTTGATATCTATTATTAGGTACTTTAGTATAATTAATCCCGTAAATAGAATCTGAGATTGTTCAAAATATTTAATTATTGAATGTCTTCGAATGACGCTTCTACTTAGTAGATAAGATTTCCTATATCTATAAACACTGATTTTACTAAATGTTATAATTACCGATACGAAACTCTTGACGCAGAACCGTGTCGCAGCATATACTCAACAGACGTGAACTAAAAGAAAAGTATTTAATATAGGGTACGTATTTGTACATACTTTTTTCTAGCGTTATATGTACTAAAATTTCATTACAATGTGGTATTTAACCTTGCGGCAGGAAAATAGGAAAATCTAAGATTGAACTTTAAACCGAAATGTGATGTGTAGGGCATGACGCCAGTTGGCTGGCGTTCTCATGCCAACGCGGTCGCGAGGCAAATTGGCATTTCTAATTTTCTAATTTCCGCGCATTTGAAAAGTAAACAACTGTGAATGATATAGTTCCAGCCAGTGATCTTGTGTGAATGTGATACAAAGATCGAAGTGCTGCATTAACTGTAGGTATAGAACTTTTTTTAAATATTTTGCGTAAACTCCTATAAATTCTAATCTAAGTAGGTCATATTTTTCCTCACAGAACATTAGATATTGATGAGACAGATAAATTGTTATTTTAAAACTAGATTTAAATAAGACGTTTCATACAATGTTTTATTAAAAAATTTTTTTGTTCTGTAGATATAGCAAAAGCTAAGTAATCCACTGATATGTTTTCTTCTGCACGTTGTAAAGTTTTACTTTTTTCATTGTTCGATGGTTTGTTGCACCAATACATTATAATGAAATTCATATAGTTATACACTTTATGAATGTGTACGGACTACTTTGGTGGTATTTACAGTATTTTGTTAGCATGTCGATGGACAGTCGCACTTCAAACATATGATTAAACCGTTACAACCGTTATCTGACCGCCTTGCCGATTTTTTTATGTTTCTTGACATTAATTTATTTTTTATAAAACTAGCAATAACACTAGGTAAAGAAACTTTTTATCTATATTATGTATACCTAAATTATTTAAATCTATAACACCTCGAATAAAAATGACTCCATACAACGTCTTTTGGGGAGTGATCCAAGAAGTTGTATGGATCAACCAAATCCAAGAAACATTAAATGATCCACGAGTCCGAGATTTTTACCACACAGTTGTCATTCTGATTATGTACAAACATATAGTTTTTATCAAACATTTTATCTGTCAAAGCTACACATTGATAAGCTTAGTTCTGACTGCTTCGTCTACCTTGGTGGGCTGTAAAAAACTCCAAAAAGCTCACCAATTTTAGAAAACTTTATATAGCTATTGTGTTATATTATAGCTAAACCACTTGTAGTTATAAATATTTTATTTATGTAATATACTAATATTTTGGTTTCATTCGCTACTTAATTTTGTTATTGTTTTTTAATAACTAAAATTGCGATTCAATATTACGATGTCTCATCTGCCTATGACTGTGATTTTTACTATTTACTTTAATCCTTGAACAACTTGGTGTTAAAATAAGTGTGAGTTGGTGTTGATAATTTATGTTATTAAATATTTATTATAATTTGGTTAATCATTTAGATACTAATTAAAATATTAACTCAATTTAATAGGTTGTGAAACAAAAATATTCGAAACTAGCTGCCCCCGCGAACTTTTTATAAATCTTCAATTTAACTTTTTTTTTTCAACTCTTTCCATAACAACCTTCCTCAAAGTTCAAGAAATAAATAAAAAAACATACATCGGTCCAGCTACGGGTTTTTCGTTTAGCAACATATTTTGCCATTCATTTTTATTTATATATTATAAAGAATCTCATTAAATTAAATATTTATATGAATAAGCGATTTCATTACC